ACAAAAAAAACAAACCAGCTGTGAGCTCTGGCTCTTCCTGTTGCACCCAGGGCCTCTACTGGCCTAGGGACCATAGAAGCTCCTTTTCCTCTGGCTCCTCAGACACCCACTGGGTCTAACTGCTTTGTGGGGTGTGGGGTGGGGGATCCAGCAGATGTGGCACCATGCCCTCCTTCTGGAGAGACAGACCCCAGGGGCATCGCCATGTGGCGACTGAGGCACCAGCCCTGGAGTCAGGGGCCTGTGCACAAACCCTGTCAGCACAACAACTCTCTGTGTGATCTAGAGCAGCTTCCTGGGCCTCAGTTTCCTCATCTATATGAAGACGGCAATCCTACAGTCTGCACCACAAGAGGTTGAGAGATGAAAGAAGCCTGTACAGGTAAAAAGGGCTCAGGATCAAATAATCCTTATTTCTCTCCTTTACCTACTCAGAGCTGAGCCAGGTCAGGCTTCTGTATAGACTGGGGGCCAGGGCAGCTGTATGGACCCACTCTAGGTTCAGGGCCAGATAGGGCCTCAGATTAGCAGCCTGTAGCTGAGGGTCCCAAGCAGTGGTCCCCAGGGTCACAAGTGGAACTCAGAAGCACCTACGCTTGTTTTTTACAACTTGGTGGGTGGGTGTCAAGTGGCTCTTCTTCATCTCTAGTCCTAGACATTGCCAGATTTGTCTGCCATTTTGACAACTTCTACTGAGAGAGCTGTAGCAGAATTAAAGATAAGAAAAACACTTTAGACAAGGCGTGAAAGAAACAGGTAAAAGTGTCTAATGTGGCAGAAGGTCCCCATGGAGCAGGGATGAGTGGCTTTAAAGAGGGGTATTCACTGGCAGGTGGTAGAGAGGTGGCTGCATTTTCCTACTTGGCTTTTTCTTCCTGGGGACCCATGAGCAGAGCAAGGCTGTGCAGGCTCCCCTGTGCTCTGCAAAGCCCCTAACCCTTGGAGCGCTGGGTGTTCCAGCCTGGCTCTGCAGGCTCCTCCAATTTCAGGGAAGTCCAGGTGTGCCCCTCAAGGAGTATTGCCAGCCCTCAGGTGCCAAAACCAGCCCAAGCAGACACCTGAGCCAAACTGTTACTGCATTTACTGGAAAAGGCTCCCCTGGAGTTGAGGAGAGTATCAGGTTTACATGGTAGGCAGGGCACAGCCCATGCCCTCCTACGCATACCCCTGCAGTGCTTTCCACAGTTCTCTCTAACCTTCTATTTTCCCTCCACATTCATTGGCTCACTGCTTCCCAGCCAGCCTATTCAGGTGGTACACACAACCAGGTTGGCAGTCCATGTAGGCAGAGTTGCAGGGCCATGAGACCTCCACTTGGGCATTGGTGCCCTGCTGGCCCAGGAAGAGGCAGGCTGGGGGGAGCCAGTGGCTGTGTCACCACCAAGCTACAAGCCTGTGGGGCATCCGGAGAGAACTGCAAGAGGTGCCAGAGCTGGGAAAGGCAGGCTTGGGGAATGTTGTGGAGCTCTCTACATACAGCAGACATCACTAGACATGAAGAGAAGGCCAAGATGTGGGCTGGGGCGGCCCCCAAGGAGCACCAAGAGGCAGCTGTGGAGAGAGAGAGGGAAGCACAGAAACTGAGGAGGAGGAAAGGCCAGGCTTTAGGGGAGCCCGCACTCATGGACGCTTGCACACTGCAGACACTGAGAAGAAAGTGTTGAGGCAAAGACAGTGGGAGCAGCCAGGAGCAGGACAGGGTGAGCGTGAGGCAAGGGCCTGACCCCAGCAGACTGGAACACAGTTCTGCCAAGGGCCAGGGGCCCAGCACTGGCCCAGCCCCTGTGTGCTTTCTTGTTGTAGCCTGACTTGCACTTTGCAAAGATGAGGACTGAAGCTCTGTGGCAAAGCTCTATTGCAAAGCCCATATTCCACCTCCTTATGAGTGGAGTAAATGGACTGGCACAGAGTTTGTGGCCCCTGGGGAGCACTGCTGCCTCTATCTCGAGGTCCACATCACCTGACAGGGAATACTCCACATCCATGCTGAAATAGTCTTTAAGGGGCCACTAGGAGCTAACAGGAGAGTCTTACCTGAACTTCATGGGATGATGCAGACCGCATGGAGCTGGCTTCCCCTCTGCATGGTGAGGTGAGCTCACGCTCATCACCTTGGAGCACAGCGTCCAAGTAAAGAAAGCAGAAATGCACGTGTCTACCTGAGCACTCCCCCCACACACACCTAATGACAGCTCTTAAGGAATAAATTGGCAGGGAGGGGGAGATAGAATTCAGTAACCAGAAAAGTTACAGACGCAAGATCAATGGCCCAGGAGACCCAAAACACTGTATTCTAGCCAGAGTGTAGGAAACTCAGAAGCAACACAGTCCATATCCAAGAACCCCCAAGAACTGGCAGCACATGGTTCTGCCGGAGATGGACAAAGGTTGGGACCAAGACGACTGGTGGAAAGAACTTTCAGAAGCTGGCAGACCCTCCAGATCCTTGCCCTGACCCTGGGAGCCGATGGAACGCTTGCCTCTCTCTGGAGAAAGCCTTGAGTTTTATTCTCTGTAAAGGGCCAAGGACAGGGTCTGCAGGCAGGGAGAGAAGGACTATCTGTGCGTAGCAGTCCCAGACCAAAAGTAAATCTGGAGAGAACATGTACCAAGGATTGCAAGACACTCTTCGCTGGCTCCCAGCAGGTTGTGTCCCAGCCACCCCCTCCACAAAGAAGAGAGCGTCTTCCTGTGGATGACCAGCTCATGTCACTGTCGACTGTGGGACTGTACAGCTTCCTAACATCATGGGTCAGCCACAGTCCCATCTTTTCAAGAATGGAGGGGCTGCCATACATCTATGCTCTCCAGAGCCTCTTGCGAGCCCAGGCCTGATGCATCCAGTGAACTTAACCTCTGAAGCCCAGGGAGCATGGTGAGTGAAGACTAAGTATGTTTATCTGAAAGATGTAAAGGACTCAGAACCCCAAGCCTAGGCTCCCATATCTCCCAGAACCCTGGAGTTAGGGAAGCAGAGTTTGGGAAACCCAAAGGTCAAATAGGATCAAAGAAGTCTCCTTAATGTTAGGCTCTTTAAAGAACAAAGGTCCTCCACCCCAGGCATCCCCTCCCCAACATCCCTGGGTCTTCAGCAGAACCCTTCTCCCCCTCCCCATGCTGCCATAGCCCTCGGTGCTTGCCTGCCAAGGCAACTTTTGTCATTGCTAGCCTTGGGCCTGGGAAGAGAAGCTGGGGCCAGGCCAGGACTCAGTTTGGAACCCACCCATGACTGGGTCCTGCTCTCTCCTCAGTTGCTAACCAGTTCCTGCTCTTTCCTCAGTTGCTAACCAGTTCCCTGCTTATAAGCAGAGATCTCTGCTGGGTCGTAACCCCTAGACCCCCATCCCTACTTCCAAAGCCCTCCATGTCCTCCCTCACTGCACACCCAGGCACAGCTGTTGTGCTGCCCTCTAGGGTCCTCTTCCCACACACACCATACCCACAACTCTTCAGGCCAGCTAGGAGCTGCACAGAGAGCAAAGGCAGATGAGTCATCAGACTCCAACAGAGCTTGCTGGCAATGAAGACTAACATCTGCACCTCATACGCCCTTTCACACACCTCAGTGGTTCTGTCACTGCTCTTGGGAATTATCTGGAAGCTTTTTAAATAAGTCCTGCATCCATGCCTGGGTTTCATTAGGAAGAGGCTCTGGTTTGAGGGGCCTAGGCTAGGTGGCTTCCCCAATGTGTAGTATTTTAAAGTCAGGATGGACAAGAAGTCTGACAGTCATTCAAAAGCCAGAGGAGCAAAGACTATTGGCAGGGGTGGGGGCAGAACTAAGGAACTGAGCCGTGGCTGGCTGCTCTCACATGGAGACAGACTCAGTGGTGTCTCATTCCTCCACAGTGCTAGCTTCTGCTCCTTACCTCCACCAGGCAACAAGGCAGGGTCCCAGCAGCTCCCACTTTGTTCCTTCTCCCCAGAAAGGGCTGCCACAGCCCATACTCTTTTACCAACTCTCATTCCTCCAGAATTCCTTCACTTCAGCTTGCAGCAGGGACACTGAGAATCAGTCTTCCCAAACCCAGGCCTACACCCCAGCACCTGCCATACTGATGTGAAGGGTTAGGTACAACCCCAGACCATGGGTGCCCTGTCCCCAACAGGGTCAAAGACAACCCCTATGAGCCCTTCCTCACCACTGCATGACCCACTAGTGTGTGCTAGCACACACTCTGCCCCCTCTGGACACAGCAAATTCCCCCGGTGTCCTGAACCCTGTCTGACTGGAGCAAAGGAAATGAAGTCCAGAATTTCTAAGAATTTATCACTGAAGATAGGTCTGGTGTCTGCATGCAGGAGGGAGCTCAATGTCTGCCCTCAGAGTCAGATTCCCAGAAAGGTCATGTTGACAGTTCAGTTTAGGTTGAATGTGACTAGAAGCCTCAAATCTAAGTCTGTCCCTGGGAGACCTGACACAAAAGTGTTAACAATGAAGAGTTCTCTCTGCAAGACCAAAAAGCCAATGTGCACAAGCTTAAGCCAGAAAAAAGAAGAAAGAGAAGGAAGGGGAGAAAAGGAGAAGGAGGAAGACAAGGAGAAGGAAAAAGGACTCCATTGCCTCGAGTGACTGGGACGTCCATAATACCTCCATCTTTAAGCACAGCTGGAGTCCAGACACTCTGAGATGGTCACCAAGTGCTCCCTCTTCTCCCTTCTACCTCATTTCCCAGCACTGTTTCCCTCCAGAATGTCTGAATTGTCACTTACTTATGGCTGGAGAAATGATGCAGTGGTATTGCATACCCCTCTCTAGCAACCCCAGCAGCAAGACTCTTCTCCCTGACCCTAAGAGAAAACTCCTGGGAAGAATTCTGATTTGTAGATGCCTGGTTTCATGGGATGAGGCAGGGTACAGAGAAAGTAGTTCCAGAAGGGCATATTAGCTGAGCTGACCGGGGCAGGGGGACCCGCGGTATCTGGGATGGGACAGCCCTCCCATCCTGACCACCACCCACATACTCCCCGGAGGCCGAGCAGCAGACCATGCAACCAACTCACAGTCAGACTTTTTATTAGGAAATCACCCTCCAAACACAAACGAAGTGCTGTGGGTCCAGTGCGTTTCCTGAGGAAGGCGGGTCACAGTATCAGGGCTGCCAGGGGCCCAACACAGTGCGGCCCCTGAGTTTGGGTCACTGTTTGGCGCTGGCTGCAGCCAGCGGGCCCGCATAGCAACGGGACTCAGCCGGAGAAGCGCCACAAACATAACACGAGAAACACGAAGGAGCACACACAGCTGCGCTACACTTAAATAATAATAAATACAGAATTCCACTTGCTGTTGTGCCTGAAACAAAGAAACCCAAAAAGGAAAAAGAAAACCAAAACAGCTTTCTCTCCATCAGACCAAAGGGAAGAAAAAATCCCCAAATTATCAAAATTCCTTGGTTACAAAATACTTTTTTAAAAATTCCATTATTAAAAGAATAAATAACAAAATATATAAAAAATAACTTGGTTGCATCAAAATTATAACTAGAAGTTATACAAGATTTTTGTGGCCTATCTTATAGTCAAATAGTTACTTCTGCTTTGATTCCCCTTATTTCACTCTTATGGTGCCCTAGTGTGGGATCTGGTTGACATCATAAAAATTAATAAATAAAAATGTTAAATAAATAGCAAACATTAACATAAGAGGGTGTGAATATAAATACTTACATCTTGACAAAATTAAATAATTTACAGAATAATTAAACTAACTACTTTCAATGTCTTCCAGGAAGTGCAATTTCTCTACTTTTAAATACTAATTCATAATTGCAGTCACAGTTGACTTGGACTCTATTTACATGGTAGGAACATTGTGTTTTTAACACATTAAATTAAAATTTACCTTTTCTTTTCCATCTTGAATGATCTAAACAGAAGTGAAGCCTCAGTGGTCTCCCATGAGGAATTCACCCCTGACCTCGCTGACACTGTCCCCACCTTTGATGCAGAACAAACCCAGCCACAACCAGGACAGGGGCAGCTCAGAGGCCTGGGTGGGCCTGGACTTAAAGGCTGCAGCCCCAGAGAGAACCCCGGCCACACAGGTCTGCACAGCCTCAGGGCTCCAGCTGCCCCAGGTAGCAGGCTGATTTTCAGGGGCCTCACAGGTTAAAATCCCCGGAGCTGACTGGGCTGAGTGCTTGCCAGTTGCCAGTTGTGGGACCCTCTGTGGAAGGCCTACTCCTAATTTTACCTCTGAAATAGCTTTGTCCCACCCTAACACAAAGCTGAATTAAATGAAAACAGAAAACACTCGCCACCTGGGCCTACTGAGCACAGGCACATAGCCCCAGGCATGTCCTGCAGGCGGAGATCCCTGGCCAGGGAGCCTGTGGCTGCCCTCCCAGCCGCAACAGAAAGAAATACTGTGGTTGCAAAACTCCAAAACTTCCCTGAGAACCTTGTCCATGAACCTCCACTGGAGACTTTGAGCTGCTCTTCTGATTTTTTTCAGAAAACAAAAATAAATCACTTTGTAATACTTCGGTGTCCCAGGCACTCGTATGAGGAGGCCTGGGCCTGACGGGGCATCAGCAGAGACACTAATTTCCAGGCACCCTTTGGACGAACCTGCCTGAGGCCACACCCCACCCGCCAACTAGAAGTCGCTGTGAGTTAGGGATTCCCCGCCACAAGCAGCAGGGTGAGGGAGGTAAACATGGGAGCCAGGCGGGGCCTTCGCAGCACATGTCAGTCTAGACCTGGATGCCCCTCACAGCCTGCTTTATGGTCTCCAGGAGGCCCTTGTTCTCAGGGTTCTGGTAGCAGTCCCGGTTGGAGTACATGTCGGTGAGGGTGCTCACATAGGCGTCAAAATTCTGTTCACATATTGGCTCCTAGGAAACAGAACCAGGTTAGCAAGCCCTGCCCATGCAGTGGGCCCCACACCAGGGAAACCAGTAGGGAAACATCAACCTCCATCCCCACTCAAACCCACGATGATCACCGCAGGCAGCTGCCCCACCTCCTACCACCATAGGCATTTCTATCTGCAACAATCCCAGTAATTGACTTACTGCCACCAAAGCCAACCTGCTTGGATTCACGAGGTACTCAGGGGGCTCAAGCCCCTGTGGCAAACAGCTGCCAGGCCAGTCAGAGAATAGGCAACCTCCACAAATGGCAGAGGTCTCTTCCAGCAAAACCCAGCAGAGGTAAAAGGTGCACCTGCGCTCCCTGCCCTCCAAAGAATCCCTGGAGCAGGTTCCTACCATGTGTGGAAGGCGAATATTGGCAAGACTTTGGATGAGAGCCTGGCTCAGCCCAGACAGCTCCAGAAACAAGGCTTCATTCTGTTCCTCGATGAGCTTATTCTCTTCCTCAATATTCTTCAGGTTCTTCTCCATGGAGGAGATCTAGGCCAGAAAGAGGTGAGAGGTCCCACCTTCCTTTGGCCCTGTCCAACTGGGCATCCACTGGTCACACCTCACATCTCTCTGGGAGAGGACAGAGCCCAGGGACGGGGCAAGAGACAGGGACATGCCTCCCTATGGTATCCCTGCATGAAGGGGAGGAGCTGGCAGTTCCCTGGCTTTGGCATGAAGGAAGCAAAGTCCTCTGGAAACAGCCTGAACCCTGGGAAGACAGGAGCAGATTCAGTGACTGCTCCAGAGGCCATGGCCATGGCCTGCTGTGTGTCATCCATCCTAGGGGCAAAGTGAGGATGCAGACTGACTCTGGGGCTCAATCCCAGCCCACACCAGCTGTACTCTTAACTCCACCAAGTTTCTTGCTCCTGTGTGTAAGATGGGAACAGTTACACCCACCTTGAAAGTATCAGGCTTCCCCTCATCAAAAAGACCAACAAATGGCTTCCCTAGGCTCCCAAGTACATAGTCTCCAGGCCATGCACAAGAAAAGTCTTCCCCTCTGTACCCTAACCCTGAGCCTGTACAAAGTTGTACTGACCCTGAGGTCTTTGGTGTTAAGGTCAGCTCCTAGTCTGACGGTGTATCTCCAAGGAACCCAGGGCAGAGGCTGAACTCACATGAGAGCGATACGTGGCATTAGGCAGGGATGGTGAGTTCTTTAGGTGGCTGTCAGAGAAAGGGGAGTGTGTGGCAAGCACACTTCTGTCACCCGGTGCAAGCTTGTGGCTTTAAAGGACTGTGGGAGGGGTGCCTTCTCTTTGTCTTGACTTTTCTGCAGCTACCATGACTCACCAAACTCCCACAAAGAGGTGCCAAAGGCCTTCTGAAGGGATGCTAGGGAAACGGAACCAATCTGTCATTTAAAGGGTATGTTTGGTTTAGCTTGGGTTGGTTTGGATTGGTTTGGTTTGGTTTGGTTTGGTCTTGAGACAGAGTCTTGCTGTGTTGTCCAGATTGGCCTTGAAACTGCGAGCTCATATGAATTAAGGGAACCTGAGACAGAGCAGCTGGGACTACAGGTATCATACCCGACTCAAAAGTTGGTTTTGGCAGATAGAGAAAGAAGAGGTGCTGTCCCAAGCCCACTGACCCTGATAAGGGCTCTGGGGACTCTGAGAGGGAAGGAGGGCAGAGCCACACTCACACATGCTGTTTCCCACCCAGAGATGTCGCTAGGGGACAGGGAGGGCATGTCACTGTTTTTGTCATTTCCTGTGGACCTGAGGGATGCTGCATTGACGCTAGAGCACACAGTGAAAATCCTTCCTGAGCTTCATGTGCTATTTTTATCCAAGCTCTTGAGCAGCAATAGATAGGGTGAGCCTGTTTGCTGGGGAGAAAGAGCAGAGCAGCACATGGGCCTTGAACATAGCCAGCATCTGCTGCCTCTGAGAATTGGTGACCTTCTTATCCCTGTGGCCCTCCTCCAGCCACTAGGGGGCACCATTCCCAGGGCACCAGCTCTATTTTTACTCCCAATCAACAGCCAGAGGCTGGCATATGCTTTTGTTTTCAAAGTAAGGCCTTTCCTGCTTCCTTTCTGATGACAAATGCTCCTTTTGAGGGAAATATTACTCATACATTTAAGTAATACATAACCTTGCCACTGAGCCACAGCTGTGCTCATGACACACACGCTGCAGCTGGGTGTTTGTACAAAAGCTTTCCTCAGAGAAGTCCTCAACCAGCGACCAGAGACAGGACCTGCTCTTACCTCTAGTCTAGGAGAAAGAGTAGGAATGAATACAAGCCAAGTGTGAGGGTGTGCACTTGTAATTCCAGCACTGTGTGAGCCTAAAGCAGTAGGATTACAAGTTTGAGCCCAGCCTGGGCAACTTAGTGAGACCCTGTCTCAAATTTTAAAAAAATTTTTTTTTAATTTATAGGTCTGGGGATGTAGATCAACACAAAGGCCAAAGGCTCTGGGTTCAAGCCTCAGTTTAAAAAAAAAAAAAAAAAAAGCACACAGAGTCGGGAGATGTGCAGGTCACTCTACAAGTATGCAACTGTGCGGGGCCCTGGCTCGATCCAAGGCCAGGTGCCATGCTGATGGGCCACCATCAGTCAGTGGGCTGTAAACATGAACAGGATGCCTAGTACTAGAAGGGCCCTAACACTGATGGACTGGGTACTTCAATGGGACTGGTCCAGTAGGACTGCAGGCCTCTGAGTGAGACCCCATCAGCACCACCATACAGCTGGGTGCTGCACTCTCAACCACCGTGGCTCCACAGCACCGACGCCGGCCACACAGTGCCAAACTGGCCTCTGGGTGGAAGTGTAGAGCCAGGGCCTGAGCAGCTTTACCCACCTGGGACTGCAACTGTACCATGGCAGCCTCCATCTCCGAGTTGGACTCATTCAGGTCTCGGATCTCCTGGTTCAGCTGTTTGATCTCCTCGTCGTTCTCCAACACTATCCGAGAAAGAAACCTCAGCTGGGGCTGTTGCATGAAGCCCAGACCAGCAAATGGACCTTACTTTCAAGGTGAAAGGGGGTCCCTGTGGGGCAGAGGCCTTCCCCCCTGGTCTCAGAACCACAAGCTTCTGTGGACACAGCTTCTGGAGCTGCTATGGGCTCACCCATTCCAATGGCCAGCAAACCCTCAAGTCAGAGCAAACATGACTACTAAAGTCAGGGCCAGGTCCCACACAGGCATTGACAGCTTCAGAACCAAAGCTGGCAGGTCTGTGGGCTCAGGACAAGAGCTGTCTCCACAACTCCTGGAAAGGTTTGGCCTCTCACCCTCTTCCCACCAGTACATAGAAGGGCCGGTGAGTAGGGACAGCCCAAAAAAGCATCCTTACCATCACTGGTCTTGAACTTTGGGCTGAGAGTCTCATCCCCTGAGAGTTTTCCCTTCTTTCCAGCAAAAGTTGCTCTGGGACAACCAGACAAACTGAAAGCAGAGGTCATACATCACTGACTAGGCCAGGGACAATCCATGGGCCAGGGACAATCCAGGGTCATCTACTATGACCCGTCCAGGACCATACACTGTCACCAGTCCAGGTCATGCCACGGCCAGTCCAAAGCACACCCCCTTGCACCCAGGTGACCCTGAACTGGAACTGCTCCTCATCAGCTGCCTCCCCAACCTGGGGATTAGGAGGCCATGGTCTGGACATGGCAGGGCCGGAAGGTGCCCCCTCAGAGCCCACCCTGTGTGGCACAGCCATGGCTGCCCCACTGGGAGCCGGACGGAGCAAGGCATCACTGCCTCAGGCACTATTCCCTCTGGGCTCTGAGGTCCACACAGCCAGAGCTCCTGGAGGAGCCCCTTCAGCTGACCCTGAGATCCTCCAGCATGTGATCCCTTGGATACAGACATTCAAGCAGAAAAAAGTGCTTTAAAAAGTGTGGATTCTCGGGAATGATTTTACTTTTGTGCAGTGACTTAATCCACACTATGAGTAAAGATTGAGGCAAAGTGAGAGGTGTTCAGAAAGACAGAAAAGGGCTCCTCTGCTCATCATCCCCAGCCCCTCTATGGCTACAGCCTATGGCTACCCTAGATCCCCAGGTAAGACCCCATCCCCTCTCTGCTTCTAGCCAGAGGCAGGAAATGAGGCCATGGCTCCAACTCTCTGCTCCTCTCTGGCAGCAAGCCAGGCCCTTCCCAGACCTTCCCTGCCCACAGTCTGTCCCTAATCAGCTGAGGCAAGCATCTGGCCCCCTTTCAAGAGACCTCTTTGCCACTTCCCTGCTGCCTTCCCCAGAGCCCTGACCACCATTTTAGGTAACTAACTTGTTTACAGTCTCTCTCCCCACCTTCCCCCCAAAGGGCAAGGGTTGGCTGTTCTTTGGATCTCTGCTTTATATCCAGGCCTTGGGGCATGATGGACTCCGAGTAAATGCTTTGGTTAAATGAATGCACTAATTAATCTTGAAAACAGATGAAGAGAAGAGGAAGGAGAAGGGAAAGGAGGGAAGCAGAGGAGAGAAGAGGAAGAGAGGGAAGAAAAAAGGGAGGGGAGAAGACAGGGGAGGGGAAAAAGCAGGCAGGGGAGGGACCTAGTCACCAGGTCCTTGCAAAGCAGGCAAGGAATTCTGCCCAAAGTTCAAAGTGACCCCAAGGGGAAGGGCAAGCCATGAAGTGTGGCCAGTCTAACGCCAGTCCAGAGGGACTCAGGCAGAGCAGAGAGGAGGCTGCTGAGAGCAGGCACATGATGAAAAATGAAACACCATCTGGCACCAACAGCACCTCTGTGATCCCTCAGGTCAGTGCCCATGGTCAAACTAAGCCCATGTCTGCCCCACTCCCACTCCCAGGAGCCATGTCCCAGCCCAAGGCCAGGGTCCCTATTCACTGGTACAGATGGCAGGGCCCAGAGTGACAATTACCTCCGATGAGTGAGGAAGCTCCCATTGGCATGGCCAGAGCCGTCACAGCCCGGGGTAGGACAGGTGGGTCCCTCGCTCTTCAGTGACTTCCAGGAAAAGGAAGAACCATTGAGGGAGCCCTCTTTCTGTCTCCGGGCAGCCAGAGGGCAGCCAGATGCACTTCTGTGCGAGGCGTACTTGCCACTGATATGGCCAAGCCCCACACAGCCTGGAACCGGGCACCTGGACACAGAAAGGCCAAGGTGACTTCAGGGTCACCAGCGTGGGAGGAACTGAGACCCTACCAAGCCTGGCCCAGGACACTCCAGCATCACATGCAGAGATGAGACCTGGAACCTCAGGAAAAGCCTAGCGTAGCGTAGGACAGCAAGGACCTCAGGATCACTTTCCTCTCCCTGGCCTCACAGCCCGGACACATGGGGAAGCCTGCAGGTCTGGAGGAAGATGAGGACACCCTGTTCCAGGAAGCTCAGGGGCAGCAGGGCTCTCATTCTCCAGCCTCTGGGCTGAGGCCACACATGGTCTTGGTGCTCATGGGTGTCACAGGAACACAGAGCTCCGGCAAGAGGCTTGGCATGGACAGCTCCGTCACCCTACCTGAGGCTGGCCAAGAATGGCATTTCTCTTTGTTCCAGGTATTCAAGGAGAAGTACAGGGACCATCACAGAAATGGCATAAATACAGACTGATGGACACCCCAGGCACTATGTGCAGGCCCCTCTTTGTGCTTCACCTTAGGGAGGGACCTGGCCACCCAGGATCTATCACTGACCCAAGATAAGATCTCAGCCTGCAAGCTTTCAGTCTTATCTCTCGTGGACCCAACTCAAGTCACCGTATGTCACAGACTCACTGTGTACTGATCACCTGGCAAACACACAAGACCCCAAGGGGCACTGCTGCCCCATTTTACAGAGTGGTCTGTAGTAGTACAGAAGTTGGGGGCAGGACACCCTCAGGAGAACAGAGGGCCATCAGCAGAAGCACCTGTTGCAAGGGGTGAGGTAGGGTCATGGGGCCACCTCACCCAGTAGGAGGTCAGTGAGGGCAGAGCTAGGCCTGTTGCCACATTCTCCCGTCTCAGAGGCAGCCCTTGCAAATACTTTCCAGCCTGCTCACCCAGACCCCTACCTCCTCTGATTTCCGCACCATCCCTCTCTTCCCTTTCTTGCTCATCCAGTCTACCAAGTCCTCAGGTGGCATAGGATGTCCCCTGTGCCGAGGCAAGGTCACTTCAGCCTCAGTCGAGAGCAGAAACACTGCAGGGACGCTGTGTGAGCTTTGGGAGGCTCACCTTCACCTGCCAGCCCCTCCGATGCTTCCCGGACACCTGAAGTGAGGACTTGTGCTGGGAAGAGGCATCTACTGAGGCTCCAACATCACAAGATCAAATGGCCAAATGAGAGACAGGCCTTCAGTCACTCCATACAATTGAATTTGAGTTCTTACTTGCCTGCTCGCAAAACCCTAACCCTTCTCACCAGGAGCAACTATTTGCATTCTTTGTAATTGCATTCATGGAGAGTAGCTCAAGCACAGTTTCTCTCTTAAAAACACTGAATCTTCAGAACTGTCAGGTGGCATCGTATAGACACACGCAGGGAGCACTGAGCTAGCTCCTCAGGCGAACAAGTGTCTTCTGGAGCCAACTGTGAGTGATGTGAGAAATGGTGCTGGGACAGCAGGGACCACACATAAATTTCATGGGTCAGATGCAGCATGGCTGGGGCAGATGCAGCATGGCTGGGGCAGAGCGAGCTTCCAGGGATAGCGGGCAGACAAGGAGAAAGGCATCAGCTCCTGACCCCTACACCGGAACCTCTGTCAACTTCTAAGGCCAGTTATAAAGCGGTGGCACCTGGGAATCACCATGAAGTTCTGACCATAACTTAATCTCAAATGGTAGAAACATGAGACCTTATAAAACAGAACTCTTCCTCAGCAGCCCCTGTAAAACCACAGCTCATCCCTGCTGATGGAATCCCATTCTGCGCAGCAGGACCTGGCACATCCATTAAAGTTTCTGCTTCGATCTGCACTTGTTTAGAGACGCTAGTCAATTATTAATATGGTTACAGTTTATGGCTGAGGGGAAGCCTATAAATGGAAGTGCCATGGAGCCACTAGGAACTTTGTTCATCCTGCAAACGCTAGGCCATTTTTAAAGGTCACAACCTCCACTTGGTTGCAGAACTCTTGCTTTCTTAAAAGCAAAGTTGACAGCACATTTGAAAGAGGAAAAGCATTTTTCCAGTTAATTTGAAAAATGCTTCTCTTGATCATAATCATTTGCAAATGCAGCACAATTCACTTACAATATCCCTGCCAGCAGGATCCTTGCTAAATCCATAAAGGCATTGCATTCATCTGATCACCAACAAATTCCTGGGTTCTGAAGAGGAAATGCACCTTTTGCCCATCCAGCATTTATTATGCAGTATCCATTATACCAGCCATCACATATTTTGCATTGTTAATTTAGCATCTATTCCTATTTGGTTGTATATACCAGACCAAGCAGCAGGGTGGGATATCCTCTTCTGAAGGATGCTGAGGCTGGTTACTTAGGCCCCTCCTCTGTGGCCAAATAGATGTCTGGGCACAGCTGGAGCCAAGTTACCCCCCCACAGGGCGAGTGCCTAGCTTCTCTTTGCCCATCAAGGGACACAGTCGTGAAGGAAGCTGGCCTCAAGGCCCTGAGACATCATTTCCACTATTCGCTTGCTGGGGGACTCGCCACCCACTTTGTTGGATGTCAGCTCTGAGACTCCTGTATCCAGAGAGATCCTTCCACCCTAGGCAAATTAGCCAGTGAGTCACCCTGCATGCCTGTGGCACAGCGTGACCCCACATCCAGGTGGTCATTGTAAGGGACTAGTTCCCTCTGGGGGAAAAGCTTACCATAGTACCAAGTCTCTGTGCAGCAGGTTACACACAGAGTCAGGATTCACCCATACACACCAAAGATTCATGAACCCTTACCCCACCCCAGTGGAAAGAGCTGGACTCAGCACCTGACCTTTCCTGGCAAGTAAAAGCCATGCAGATTGCAAAGCCTGTAGGTCCCTCGGGGCCAGGGCATTCAGCCTCCCCCAGCCCCACCAAATACCTCTGACCTGAGCCCAGAGAAAGGTTAGCACACACGCCCTGGTTACAGCCCAGAAACTGATGTGCCTGGATTGAGCACTTCTGTAAAAATGAGGATTGCCATTGATCAGTTTGGTGCTTGGCTGTGGTGGAAAGGGAATCTAGAAGGAGACAGCATTGATTTTGTTTCTGTTTTTAAATTATAACAAAGAAAAAAACCTCAGTTCTGTAAAGCAATGAAGGAGCCAGCCTGGCCCAACATACTTCATCAGCTCAGGGTCCTCTCTGTCATCCTTGCTGGGCGCGACCTTGAGTCCACTCTTCTTGGCACGTGGGCAGCCTGACAAGCTGGTGTGGAAGAAGGAAAAAGGCTGCCTCAGTCCCAGAACAGCAGCTCCCTCACCCGTCTCTGCATCCTCTTCCCTCAAGTGCTGTGAACCCCGGCCGGGATGGGAGGGAGGGAAAGTAGATGCACCCATCACTCACACACTGTTAGTCATTTGGTGATTCAAAACAAAGTACACACACACCGAGCCTTCACAGCAGGGCTGAAGAGTCAGGAAGGAGAAGCACCTCTGTGAGCCTCTATCTGTGACCCTTTGTCTTCTTATCTCACTGCAAAGAGCCACCTGACCAGGCTCTGGAGGCATCAACAATTCAGACGAGAAGGAATGGGCTCTAGATGTCAGTGCGAATATTGTCTCCTTCAGAACTCTAAAGCTCTGTCTAGGATAGAGGCCCCCGACCACCCCTGGCCCCACACACCTCCGGTGAGAAGCGTAGTTCCCTGTAATGTGGCCAGAGCCATCGCAGCCAGGCGTGGGGCACCTGTAGAGGAAAGCTGGATGAGACCAGAGCCCATAAAGACAGTAACCCTCTGGCCTCAACCCCCATGAGCCTATGGTCCTCCCAACAGCCACCTCCCTCAAACATCTTTTTGCAGAGGAACATCAGTGTTGATGCATCACAACATGGTGCTATCACTGACTGACAGGGTCACCTCAAGGTCTCAGAACTGTCCAGTCACCCCAAGAGGGTCTAGAAGGCCAAAAGGAGAGCATTCTGAGGTGCCTGGCTCTACATCAGATACCAAGCCAGGGCACTGGGACTTCCCTGCGGAGTCCACTGCATCCAAAAGAGATAAGGGGCTCCCAGCTCAACCTTCTACCCAGTTCTAGCCTGGATTAGAAGCATTCAGAATACATCTGAGCCTTAACTTTAAATGTGAGAGCTCAGGGAAGCACACCTAGCCCTTGAGGCCACTTGATTCTCATAGTCATGGCTAGAAGCCTGCTCACATGGAGGATTTACAGTGGCTGCTGCAGATCTGGGCCCTGGGTAGAGAGCACAGAACTCACACAGCAGTGGCTTTTGTCTGTCAGTAAGCACCAGCACAGAGTAAGGAAGAGAGACACAAAGCACCAAACTCCAACTTTACACACCCAAAATGCTTGACTAATGTATCACATAAAGTGGCAAAAATTACACTTCAATATTTAGAGGCATTAGAATGTTCTTTCTTCCAAAGGTCCACTGAGGAAACCTGTGTGAGGCCCTGAAGGTGCCAGTATGGAGAAGAGGCTGGGTCCCCACTGGGCCTGCTGCTCTACACTTTGCCCCTCACGGCGAGGCCAGTCTGTGGGAGCCAGGCAAGCATTTGCTGCTGGAATCTAAACATCTTACTACTCAGAGCACTACTCTGTGCACCTCGGGCCCCTGGAGTACTCCTCAATTTCTGGGCCATTAAAGCAGGCTCTGGCCTTTAGGACAGGGCATCTCCTTGTTTGAAGAACAGAGGCTGGACACAGTACCAAAGAGCTTCCCTGACAGGACAGGGCTGGCCTTATCTCCTGCAACCTTCTCCCCAAACCTCTGGAGTTTTCTTGAAGTGCCCTCTTGGGGTATCCCAGGTCCTTCATGCCTGCCCTGTGTCATCCATTGGCTGCTCCACTGGCCTGTCATTTGGTCAACTTGTGGTTGCTATGCCACCATCAAGGTATCCCTGCTCTCTGAAAACCTAAGTATAGGGAGCTGAAGATGTCTGCTCCTCCTCCTGGTTGGTGGCAGCTCAGGCAGTGACCCAAGGCTCTGGCTCCTTGTCTCAGCATCAGGGAAGCATCTGGCAGAACTCGTTCGGTACTGAGGGTGGTGGTCTCTCAGTAGCCACAGCTCCAGGTTATGAATATCACCAGTGGTGAGGTACAGATACCTCTGTAGACACTGATAAGTCTTGGGTGAGCTACCCTGCACTTCTCATTGAAACCTGATGCAATGGTTTTTCCCAAGAGTTGTATTCAGGAGAGGACAATGTTCATGTAAGCAGAAGCAGGTGTCCTTGTTGTGCTTCTTCCAGCCTGTGGCCCACAGGGTTGACAGCCCCTCAACCCCCACCCTTGCTTCTGAGTACCTTGTCTGGGCAGAAGGAGGGATCGGTGCCCAAGGGACACAGTCAGCCTTGGCAACACACTGGGTCTCCCTCTGAGCCCATCTTTGGCCTGGGGGATACCCCCGCACTGTGTAGAGCCTGCACACCCTGCAGTGCGTGGATGTACCTGGACTCCCCATGGGCACAGGAAGTTGAGGAGCCCAAGGCATTCCTAAACACAGTGACACACAGAAGATAGCAGATGCCCTTGGGGCCCACTTACAACACAGGAAACACCTCATCCAAGAGTCTCTGCATTCGGCATCAAGAGACAGCCCACCAAATAACCCTGTCTGCCCTAGCTCAGCTGTCCTGACGCCACTCAGAAAGGAGGAGGACAGGACGCAAGAGGAATATCAGCGCCCCGGGCAACATAGAGGAGCTGCTCCTGACTGCCCACTGTGGCCTGAGGAAGGCAAGGAGAAGAGCTCTCCAGAGTGAGCCCCGGGGCAGAGGAGAACTGCAGGGAAGACCCTGGCTGGCTGCCTGTCCACACCCTGCCAAGGCTGAGCAGCTTTGCTCACACAAGGGAGACTTTTCATGGCTGTTTCTAAGGAGATTTTGGGTTAAGGTTCTTCACAGTCTTAGTCATCCAAGGGTGCCAGCTCTACCAGCTGCATCTTCCAACCAGATCACACTGAGTTTCCTTATCCCAGGCCTGAGCATCTGCTCCAGGGCCATAACGTACCTGTGGCTACACCACTGGCTCTAAAACTATTTAGGCCTTTGAGTTGGAAAACCGTGGGAAAAAAAATCAGTTAGAAAAGAAAGCAGAATTGGAAAAGAAAATGGGGGGGTGGAGGAACACAAGGAAGATGGCAAGAGAAGAAAGCGGAAGTAGGGTCTACACAGGGCTGCCGGACCTAGTGTTCCAACCTCAGGTTTCAGAGTCAGGAGCAGAAGGGCATCAGAGGAAAGAGTGAGTGTGTGAACCTGCTGTTCACGCACAGAAAGAGAATGGAGAGGGCGCGCCCTGCTCTGGCCCTCTGTGGTAAGGACACGCAATAATGCACTCTTCCACAGAGGGGCAGAGAAGAGGCTGCCAGGGTGGGAACTGGAGACCCAGGAATTTCTTCCCTGCTGTAAACTAACACAGGTCCCTTGAAGCCTTCAACACTTCCCCTCTTCATTGCAGAGGCACCAGTGCCCTACTTCTCTCTGATCCCAAAACAGGGCCAGAAATCCTTGCCTTGGATTAGGATCTCCTGGACAAAGAGCCAGGCCAGGAGGTCATAAGCTGAGGGAACAAGAGTGGTACCTCCTTCCTCCACTCATCCCTGGTGCCCAGGATGAGGTCCCTGCAGCCCAAGGTCACAAGGCTCTACTGTCACAGCTCAACAGAAAGCCTGAGAACCAAAGGCAATGGCAGATCCCAGCTCCAGCCCCAAGAGGCAAGGCACCTGTAAACCTCGGGTGCTTGCACCTCATTTGTGCAGGGCTGTAGAGCACAGGGCCTGCCTACTCATGTGTCAGGGGCAGGGAGGCACAGACCCAGAAAGGAGGCCAGCAAAGAGAAGGCAAGAGCATAGCGTGAGGCTGACTGGAGGGGTGCCAGGGTGGAGGCAGAGCAGCCAAGGGGTGCGGGAGCAGGGAGGGCAAGGAGCCATCTGCATCATCTGTGTCCAGTTTGCATGTCAAGAGCCACACAGCCCACAGCTACTGAGCCATGCCAGGTCTTGCAAGCCACAGTCAATTCCAGGCCTTTCTCAAATCTCTAAGGCAGTGGGTAAAGCTGGACCCTGTTAGGGTCCTCCAGAGAGGCTGCAGCAGTCCCTGCCTCAGCCCAAGGTGAGGAGCGGATGGCAGTGCTCAGAGTAGGGGTCACAGGGGGCAGAGGAAGCAGCAGCAGCTTCAGCCACACAGAATTGGCCCTTCCTTGGCCCTGACCCTCTGCCCCATCCCAGGAGGGCAGGGCAAGCCTGGGGTGGCACCTTGGAGAAGGCCAATTTTGGCAGGAGCCTCACAGAGGAGAGAGCAAAGCAAGGGTGCTGCCCAAGAGACAGGAGGTCAGGGAGCGCAAACATACTTGAGGTCAGCAGAGTGGGCAGCCATGAGGTTTCTGAGGCTCTTGTCAGCAAGAGGGCAACCAGAGAGGCTGAAAGAGAAGAGATGGGATATGGGGTGAGCCAAGAGGGGGAGCAGAGGAGAAGAGGAGGAGGACCCCCCACAAAGCACTGAGGCCAGGCCAGCAGAGCAGGGGACGAACCTGCGGTGGGAGGCATAGTTCCCGGTGATGTGGCCACTGCCGTCACAGCCGGGGGTGGGACAGCTGGACAAAGGAAACAGAGTGTCAGAACAGGGGTTGCTACACACCTGCAGACCTGCCCAAGACCAGCCTGCATCCAGGCCCACTCCCAGCTCCTCCCCATCATCCTGGAGCATAGCTCCTTCCTCTCAGATGGAAAGTTCCTCCCATGCATATGCACTCAAGAAGGACATGTTGAGCTGCACATGAGAATGCTCTGAAACTTGCATGCTGTGTGTGTGCATGTGTGTGCCTGTGAACATGTAGGTGGGGAGCTCCTGCCCTCTCCAGTTCCCAAAGCATCATGGCCTCCCCTGAGGAGGACAGCTGACCCCAAGGTAGGAGGAAGTCAGTGGGGTTCAAGGTAAAGAGAGGAAGGATCTTCTCCTCCCCAGAGTGAGCTCTGAGCACCAGCAGTTGGAATCACCCAGCCACAGGTGCCGGGCGCAATCCCTCACAGCTCTCTGGGGAGGTGGTTGCCAGCAGGGGAAGCCAGAGGTTCTGCCTGTTTCAGCCACACAAGGACTAGGTTAAGGGTAGCCTGGGGCTCAGGCTGTCAGAGTTGAGGACACAGTCAGAAGGCAATGGCACCGCCCGGGCAGAAGGTGTCCAGCTGGGCATCTGTTATCCCTGAGGGTTCCTGGCAGGCCTGCTCATGACTCCATGGCCCTCATCCTGTGCTGCTCTGTCCCTCTTTGAGAGCTGGGCCAGGGGCTCCCCCTTGTTCTCAGCTGCTGTTAGAGGATTGCATTAACCCCAGCACAGCACAGAGATAACAGGAAAACTGTCATCATGGGGCTGCCTGGGTGGAGGTGGTCAGGCCTGGCAGGAGACACACTGGACAGGGAAGGTCCTGTTGCCGTGCACTAGGCCCAGGCCTGCTCCTCCCTGACTGGGAGCGTGCCAGCTGCGGCGGCACTTACGTGAGCAGCTCCTTCTTTATGTCCTTGGAGAGAAACTTCAGCTTAAAGTTTGTCAGGGTGACTTCCCCTGGGTACTTCCGCTCCTCAAAGTTCTCTTCCGACACCTCCTGGTCATCTGCTTCAGAAGAAGCAAAAGAATGTGCTGCTGGCTCTGACTGCAAAAAACCGGCAGGGAGATGTTTTAACAGCTGCTGGGAGGCCTGGGCACCCAACCCAGTGGGTGAGGGAGAGGGACCCTTGAAGAGAGTGTCTGCGATGCATTTCCCAGACTCTCTCCTTAAGAGGAGGGAGGAAGGCCTTGCTCCCAATGACAAGAAACAGAAGACAACCCTCCAGGCCAAAGCTAGGAACTGTCCTCCTCTGAGGAATCTGCCTCAAAGACAAAAGTCTCTGATGCCAGAACAAGGCTCGGTGCCCACTGTGGCCTCTCCACCAGGTCACTCCACGGCACAAGTGCCTGCTGCTGCCCTTCAGGGCAGGGATGGTGCTCAGTCATCAACAGGCACTTGCCACTCTGCCATGGAGCTGAGAGGTAAGGACAACAACACAGCTTGTGGCAACCACACTGACCTGAAACCCACTGGCCTGACCCCTACATGATGACTGGGCCACAGCGGGACTCCACAATATGACAACTGAACAGCAGGTCTAGAGGGCATTTTCTCACACATGGGTTCAGCTGTGGACACTGCTGAGCGAGGAAAAACTGCTCCCACAAAGGGCCAGGGACCACAGGGCCAGAGCAGTCAAATTCCCACAGGCGGCTGCAGCAGAGGTCAGCCCAAGGTCGGTACCTACTCGCCACGGGTCCCAGCAAGTGGTGGGGAGCCATACCTCTGGAGCTGAAGAGCATCCCCTAAATAAGGAGGTACCATGAGAACAGCCCCGTAAAATGACTCGGGCCCTCAGCCATGGACCTGGCTAGTGGTGCGGGTGCTGCTGTTGTTCCGAGGCCCATGGACACAAGGGTCTAGAGTGCTCAGGGGCACTAAGGAGGGGCTGCTGCCCAAAATGTGGGCCTACAGGAAGGGCTGGCAGGAGGGCCTGAGCAGAAGGCATTTAGGGGTTGGGGAGGAGGTGGGTGGGGAAAGGGGAAGGGTTTGAGATGAGCCAAGACTGCTGGCTGCAAAGTGAACTGTTAGCCACAGTATCCAAGTGCAGCGAGAGGCAGGATTCAGTAGTGGAGACCTGAGAATTGATAAGGCAGGATCATCCTACAGAGGGCAGCTTATTCCCAGGGCAATAAGAAAGATCTGAGAGGATGTGTCAAGGAAGAACAGGGGTGCCCAAGCAGTCTGGGGAGTCCAACACTGGGCCAGGGCCAAGGAAGGGGCCCAGGACCAACCACGGGTGCCAAGAAGGCATTGCTGGCAGGCCAGGAGGACATGGCCAGGTCCAGGAAGGAGGTGGTGGGTAGCTTAGTCCTGGGAGCTTCTAGACCCAAGGATGAGAGTTAACAGTGAACACACTATACAGGAGGGCGGCTCAGCCTCAGCCAGGGCTCTTGCCCACTGCAGAAAGGAACTAAGCTCAGCAGACCTGGGCAGCCACAGCTTCAGGTGCAGCTTCCCTCCACCTAGACAGCCAAGGTGGCACCTCTTCCAGGACCCAGTACCAGAGGAGGGCCAGTGACAGGCTGTATGAACTGATCAGAGGCCCAGCTCACCCCTGGGTAAAATGAGATGATCCTGAAGTACGTTAGAGTAGGCTGAGGGCCAGGAAAGAAGCCAGTCCCAGCGGAGACAGTGCGGGGTGACTTGGCCCTGCCTCCCTATCCTTCTTGGCACTGGCTTTGTTCCCTCCACAAGGTCCCCTCCTGAGGAGCTGGGGAGGGAGGGAGGGGAAGCAGGCAGGTCTCACACACACTGCCCGGTCCCTGTGTACCCTCAGAGTTGGACTCTGCTCCTTGGGACTCATCCTCCTCTGGAAAAAGCCCGATGCTGCTCACCTCAGAGGGGCTCTTCATTTAAAGTTCAGGTAGATGGGACACTTGGAAAGGGACTGTTCCACAGCTCCAACACCAATGGCCTGCCTAGCTTCTCTTTATCAGTTTGGTCCTAGTCTCAGGAATTCAAGCCACTGTCACTACTTCCAGCCCAAGACAGGAGTTTGCTCACTGTCTTAGCCCAAGGCACCAAGGGGCTAAGCCCTGTCTGGATAGCAGCCATGTTCTACAAGTTGGTGGGAGAAAACCTGAGTTTTTCCCAAATCATCCTCCCTAGGAGTCTGAAATGAGCCTCCCACCTCCCCTTTCCTCAGAACTCCCACATTTGTGCTGGCCACTCTGTTCCAGAGATACAGATTAGAAGATCAGCTCTCTTCTGACAGGTTCTATAGGAGGCAGGACCCTGGGTCCTAGCTGTCCAGAGGGTAAAAGGCTTGTATGGAAGGACTGGACTCTAGAGGCTCTGCCAAGCTCCTCCCTCAAGGGGAAGCTGCCTAGAGAAGAAGCATAAGTCAGGCAGGTACCACCACCATCTGCTTGCTCAGTCCCTGCACCCACCTCCTCAGGCTCCTCCTCCCGCAGGCGGCTGGGCTTGGTATAGTCCAGGGGTCGGTCCCATTCATCCTGGCGGGAGGCCTGGCTGGATTGGGGTGAGGTCATGGAGCTGCTGGGGGCGCTAGTGCTGCTCTGGCGCTGAGAAACATCAGGAGACTTGACCCCAGGGCTGCTGCTGCAGCTGCTGCTGCTGGGGAGAGCATTTTCTCGTTTGCGGTGTTTGTGCATGCTCAAGTCTAGTGTTCCATTTTCATCTACCTCGATGTCCACAGACTGCAGTTGCAAAAGTGAAGAAAGTATTAGAGAATCTACCTGCTTCCCATGTGGGTATGTTTTCATCAGATTTACAGAAAATGCAGAACACAGATTCCATGGAAGGACACAGGGCTAGCAGAGGGGAGAGGTGCCAAGAGGGAAGACAAATGCCACTTCCTAACTGCACAGGAAGGAGCCCAAAGTCCCTTGTACTGCCAGCAGCACAAAGCCAGTCCCTTGAGATGTGTGCAAGTATGCATAAGACAAGGTGCTTTGAGCCAGAACATGTTGGTCACAGCCAGGCTCAGGGGGAAGCAGTAAGAACACGGTGTGCACCTGACCCCCAGACTCATTGGGAAATGCATGGGAACACAGCATGGCCTTTTGTCCCTGTCCACAAAGGAGCACTCTCTGGGGGCACCCATCCACTTTCTTTGGTCACCTGGCCAGGAGGGAGAAAAGGGAAGAATGAACATTCCCAGCCAGACCCTAGCTGTTCCTGGCAGCACCATGCCCAGTGAACTGGCAGGCCTGGCTGCAGGTTCTATACACTCATCCCTCCTTGGAGGGATTGGGGGGACACCTACCCTGCTGGGAAGGTCCTGTGGCTTTGTGCTGAGGTTCTCAGGCATCTCCCAGCAGCGGGTAGAGAGGTTCAGAATGGCGGTGGCAGCCATGTGTGCAGCCTCGGCGTCGTGTGAGTAGTCGAAGCCTGCAGAAGAGGATGAAGTGCTCCTCATAACTACTGGGTGGGGGCTGTCCCTGGGGGGAGGATGCCTTTGGGGAAGGTTTGGCTGCAAAAAGGGAACAACACGAGGCTGACAAAGATTTGGACAGAGGCAGCAGATGGAGGGGGCAGTACTGGGGGGCACAGCTATGGCAAGGTGGACTTTGGGCCAGGCTGTGTGCTCACTCCCACATCCTCACACACCCCCTCCTGACATCTGCAGGAGTCAGTAAGACTCCACTCTGTACCCCTCAGGTAGAAAGCTTAGCACTGCTCCTATGGAGCTGACAATATCCACTGGGAGGCACAAGTCCCAATCCCATGTGTTCACTTGCATTTGAAAGGCTAATGAGCTTGCAGTCCACTAATTTGTGAAATAATTGACGAGGGAAGATTGTTCTAGAAGTTTTGCAGAAGTGAGTCTTACCAGTGCAATTACCCAGGAAATGTGTTGCTAATGGTCCAAACATCATCTCCAGTTAGATGATCCTAGTGCAGAAAAGCAAAAGGCTTCCTGCCAGGGCACCATCCTGGCCAGCCTGACCCTCCCCAGTGTCAGTGTGAGGAGAGACATCCGCTGCATTGGAAGAGGGGGCTCTCAGGATTCACCCAGTCAGTGAGTTATTCTTAAGTTTCTGAACAAACACACCCATGAGGACCTGGGTTTTGCTTCACAAACATTAGGAGACATGCAAGGGCTCACGGTGAGACGTAAGTCCCAAAGAGGCCACAACTACACCCAGTGAGGCCTGGGGCCTGCACGCCAGTCCCCCCAGCTCCTCAGAGGCAGCATGAAAGGAGAGGCACTAATAATTCTCCCCAACTTACATTGGAAGGCTTTGGGTGAGGTTTCGCTGGTCTGAATCTTTGGGGCAAGCATACGTTTGCCAAAAACCTGAGCATCAAAACTTGCGTAGTCAAAGGTGACCTTGGAGAACTTCTCTAGTTCCTTGGCCAAGTTGGCCCTTGGTGTGGCAGGAGCCACATTGGGCCGGTAGCTCCCATATGGAGGGACCTCAAGCTGCTTCACGAAGCACATGGGCCTGGGGTGTGGGCAGAGAGGCAATCTGTGAGGAGAGGACCCAGAACCCATGCTATCTACCCCCCACTCCATCCAAGACCCCCAACAGTCCCAGAGAGACACCCCCATACGCTGCCCCTCAAGACTGGCCAGGATTCTACCTCCCAGGGCCCAGGGTAAAAGGCCTCTGACTGATATGAGGAAGAATTGCCAGCAAGGAAGAAGCAATAGGAAACTGGAAGAACAAACAATGTGTCTCCAGGCTGGTGGCATCAGTCATAGGAGCAAGGGCCTGAGACCTCCCCAACCCAGAAGGTAGAAAAGCAGGTTTCCAACAGTTCAGCTGTAGAGAGCATGACAGGGAGCCCAACAGTAATGCAGCCTGGCACAACAGTGAGCCACGGCAAGGCAGGATTCTCAAGGCAGAATAGCCTAGCTCTGCAACTAGGACAGATATAGGGTGTCTGGAGGGGACATGGGGTAAGGGCAAAGGATGGCCTCAAAGCCAGGCTAGACCCAGCGTTTTCCTCAGCCTAAGACTTGACCCTCATCTGTTGTCTCCTTACAGCCAAGTGGAGGGTTATCAGAGGGCATGAAAAGGCCATTGCAATCATCCAGCTCATGGAAGCCATTGGAAGAGTTTCAGGAGAACTCTTGGAAAATGGAAGCTCTGGCACAGGAGACAGAAAGGAAGGTGAACTATGAGGGCTGAGACTACACAAGATATACGGGGGCTTCTGGACTCGTGTGGATGCACACACACAAACAGGCACATCAACACACACCTGTCTGCACGCTCAGACTGCAGGGGAGAGGGGAGGGGCCCTGTGAGCAATGTCCTCAGTGTTGGTGAGTCCATCACCAGCCAGAGATGTGGTATGTGGGAACATAGCTTCTGAGGGGCCCTCTGGAGCAGTCAGGGAGGGCCAGGGTATAAAGCAGCCAAGGCAGGTGGCCAGGATCCTCTGGCCAGGGATTTGCCGGCCTGTGGAGGAGATGGAGGGCATTGGCTGCGGGCCCTGCCCATAAGGAGCCATGCTGCTGTTTCCCACACTCTTGAAGAACAGGGTCCGAGAAACAGAGAGGGAGATGTGAATGAGTTCTGGTCCTCCAAGGACAATGAGAGCGGGATGGTCTCGCAGTGAAGAGACAGGCTGGAGCAGGAACAGGTGGTAGTGTCCCCCCAGTCATGGTGCCTCACAGGCCAGGGATTCCCACCCGCCCCCACCTCATAGAGGATTGGGTGGAAAAGGAGACTCTGAAGACAGGCCATTTCAGATGGGTGACCTTGGGCACGCGCCTGAGCTTTAGCCCTTATTTGTGACAACTGCTTCACAGCATCACCTGGATGAAGAGGCACTAAGCAGATGTGATCTAGGGGTCTTTTGGAGGCCCCTTCATTGAGGAGAGATGGTCTATGCAAACATACATCCATGCCCTTGTACACATGTATAGACTCATACACTCACACACAAACAAGCATGCCAGCATGCATCTGCGTGCACACACTCAAGCCTGCTGCTGTCTGGCCCCCTCTGGGAGCAGGGCTTGCAGCTCCCCCTCCCTGACTCAGGATCTATCTTGAGTGGGGGAGGCAGAAGTAGGACACCCAGGGCTTTGCAGCCATGGTGCTTCCTGGATGGCCCTTCCCTTGGTGGTGTGCTCCTCTCTCTCTAGGCAGGACCAGTGTCTCCACAACGGGTTCCTGAGCAGACGCAGTAACAGTATCGGACGCCCTGGGAAAAAGCAAGGCCAAGCAGCCTGTGGCTAAAGCCAGGCAGCCATGCAGCTGCTTGCACCTCAGCCAGGCCTCTGGTGAGCCCAGCTGGTATGAGACTGTCCAGTGTCCTGCCGAGAATTCATACCACATACATCCCAGGACAGACTGGCAACCCTGAAAGCACTTGGAAGTGGTCCCTTCAATTCAGTGGCTCATTCACCCACCTGAGGATCCGATCTGAATTGGAGCTATTCTTGGAAGGATCTCCCATCTGCGGCTGCTGCTTCTCATGAGATTTGGCTAATTTTTCAGCGGCAGCAATGGGACATCCAGACAAACTAGTAGAAGGAAAAAGTGAGACATCTGAGCCTTCTCCCCAATGCCAGGCCTGTCCCCGATGGCCAGCTGTGTGGTCTGGGAACAGCACCATTCAGACATGAAAGCTCCACGCTTGTGAGGCCCGGAGGCAGAAGGACCCCTGACATTCCTACAGGACAAGGTTTTCTCCCAGCTCTGTCCTTGGCTTTCAAAGTGCAAGCTGCTTGGTCAGTTTCTGTTCTGGGATATTCTAAGCCAGTGAGCCTCAAAGCTGAAATATATCCTGGAAGCGGGCAAAGCCTCATCAAAGATGCCTCCTCTACACGGGTCTGGATGCCAGGCTCACCCCTCATCTCCCTCCTCTCTCCTTCCCGGGTCCTGGGGAGGATTCTGGAATCATCTCTGTGTCATGTTCTGTTAGCTGACTTGGGGAAATGCAGGAACCACTCAGGCCATGACCTGGGCACTGTCCCTGGAAGACTCTGGAGCTTTTCAAGAAAGTGCCGACCCAAAAGTAAGACAGAGCAGGTTTATCTATCAGAACTAAGTCGACTGTGAGCCTATGCACCCGCTCCTAGGCCAAAGAAGGTGACACAGTCATGCCACTTAGGAACTTGGCCTCTTTTCTAATGAAGTAACCTCAAAAGCTCTGGCATTATTTCCAGCTGAGTGTGCTCCTGCTGTCACATCCCATAGAGCACGGCCACCCATGGCTCCCTGGGTGGGGCTAGGGGTGTGCCCCTCTTATCAAGGAAGACAAGCTGACAATTGAATATAGACAATGGCCTGGAACTCTCTGTCTTCCTGGTCTCAGTATACCCTCTGAGCAGCCCGAGTATGGCCCTGGCTACTGAGGTCCCTGTTGGTAACCATATTTTCCCCTCCACCTATGGGGAGAAGTTATCTGAAAGCATGCAGAACCCAAGCTTCCACCTGGTTCTCCACATGGGTGTTAGACCTCTCAGAAGAGGCATGTGCTCACCTCAGCTCACAGGTCTCCAGCAGCAATACCACTGGGTACCTGCACCTCAGGGTGCCCTCTACCTACACAAAGGCCCCTTGCTCCCCAACAGCCCTGACCTTGTGCCCACCATGCAGGGTGCCAGCATGGAGGCAGGCATTATTATGTGTTAGGCCAGAGCACATCCCAAATGAGGGCTCAAGGCTCTGGGCAGAAACATACACTGCAGGCCCCACTCCACCCAAGTACCTTCTGTGTGTGTTGCGGTTGCTGTTCACATGGCCCTGACCTGTGCAGCCAGGAGTGGGGCACTTCAGCACATTCTCATGCATGGCCAAGACTGTAAGAGAACCAGGGAGGGCAGAAAGTGAGTGCCCACATGCCTGAAAGGGTGTCAAGGAATAGGCTAAGGAGGACCCAGGAACCCAGCCAAAAGCTGTGGCTTTGTAGGCAGAGAAGTAGCTAGCTCAGGGTAGCACCAGCCCCAGAGTCTGAAAGTATGAGCATCATCCTGTGCCAGTCAGGCTTGATCCCTCTCCATGTGGTCCCTGCCTCCCAAGGCAGAAACTATATTCCATTTTAAAACCTCTCATTTTTCTGTTTTATTTTTTATAGTTTCTGCTTTCAGTCTAAGGTAAGGACAGAGGTCTACTTCCTGAGCTTTTAGAGCATCGAAGCCACTGTGTAAAGACCTCCACCATCACAGGGCACGGCCCATTCCCCCCACTCATCTGCAGTCTTCCAGGGGGGCTCTGACCCAGGCTGGCATCTCCAGGTGGTCAGCTGGGCAGGTTGCATCCCCAGCCTCATAGGGCTCAAGCTTAGGCTTTGGCAGTTTGGAGGGGAGATAGGCATTTGGGAAACCCAAAGGGACAGGGCTCTGGGCAAGCTGCCCCCCCCCCAACCAAGGACAACTCCAAATACCACACAGGCCAGAGCATCACTGGGCGAACTAACCCTGCATGTAGCTACTCACTCTCTGGAGGGATCCTGTCCTTGTGGGGACAGCCAGACAGGCTACGGTGGTGAGGGTACAACCCAGTAACATGGCCAGTACCATCACAGCCAGGGGTTGGACACTTGATCTCACGCTTCTCAGCTCTGGAAGGATCTAGAACATACAAGACATATCACAGAGAGCCAGGAGGCTGGGCAGTGGGTAAAGACAGGAAGAGGTGGGAAGATCTCACACCCCCTTGCCAGCTGTCCAGAGAGAAGGAAGATGAAACTGCTCAGGAACCCAAGAGGGACAGAAGCTGGCTAGGAAGACAACCCTAAAGAAGCTGATTAAAAGCCCAGGGGCTGTTCCTTCCACCCTAAGTAGGAGGGTGGGCTAGCCTTCTGCACTGGGAGGGGAAGGCATCTGGGAACACCTCTGCCACAAGGCGTCATGAGGAGTTGACAAAATGAGGTGGACAGAGGTTAGGAACCTATCCGAGAAGCATAACTAATAAATGTTTGGGTAGAAAGTGCACCTCAGATCTCAGTCATTGACCTCTTCTGGCCTCTTCAGGAGTACAGGGGCAGACAGCAGGGCACAGATGGCCTATCCTGTAGACCATGCCCATGGTAGCCATGACCATTTGCTCAGGGCCTGTCCTCTGATCTACCTCCAGTCTCTAACCCCATCCCACACCAGCCCAGACCCAAACAGACACAAACCCCTCCTAGCAGCCCACTTGACTCCTCTCACCTGGACCTCAGCCTTTCAGAGAGAACTGTGGACACTGTTCCTAGGCTCTGCACACTTTAGGACCAAATCTAGACACTGGCTTACTACGGATTAGCAAGGGACAGGCAGACATCCCTCCACTGTCCTCCTCCCAGCTCACACACCTCAGCTCCATGCCCTTCTCCTTCCATCCACCCCATGTGAAGCAACACAAGCCCATTTCCTCAGTCTGACCACAGTCACGTGTGTATTCATCCCCTGCCAACTTTTCTATCCTTCCCCACCCACCCCAGCATGTAAAGGCAGAAATCTCCACACCTCGGCAAGGCTACATGTCCCTGTATGGTAGGAGGATGGGGTAGACATGTGGCTAGGCCACTTCCAGCCTACCTTTACTGTAGCAGCTCTTCCGCATTGTGTCTAGGGACTTTGCCACCTTTCCTGGCTCTCCTGGGCCCTGCTGGCCCTGCTCAGCAGGTGGGCAGCCTGGCTCACAGACAGCGCGAACCTGCTCAGCCTTCAGGGCGATGGCCTGCTCCAAAAGCCCCAAGTTCCCTCGGGTCATCATGTCGTACATCTCCGACTCATCCGTGACCGTGGACTTCTGGGAGTGCATGTCCTCATCCTTGTCATCATCAGACCGGACCTCCACAATGACGGAATACTCAGGCTTGAGAGTGGATGGCTCTGGGCAATGGGGCTCAGAGGCCTTCGGGGCAGAAGTGTGCGAGGCGTCCTCCTCAAACAGCACCTTGGGAGCTGCCTCTTCTTCTCCCTCCTCTTCCTCCTCTTCCTCCTCCTCCTCTTCTTCCTCCTCTTCCTCTTCCTCTTCTTCTTCCTCCTCTTCCTCCTCTTCCTCTTCTTCCTCTTCCTCTTCTTCCTCTTCTTCCTCCTCCTCTTCCTCCTCCTCTTCATGACCCAGAACACCTTTCTGCTTGCTGGAACACTCCCTGGCCACATCCTCCATGGACTGGGAACATGGCTCCTGGGAACGCTCGCTGGTGACTTCAATGACCTCTTCCGCATCCTCTGGCTGGATAAAAAGGTCCTTCTCACCCTCATCACTGGTGGCCCCCTCTGTAGCCTCCTCTGGAAGCAGGTGCACAACGCTGGGGCCCAGCTTGGCTGCTCGGCCCGAGTCTTGCCCAACCAGGGTCTCTTCAGCAATCTGGCCCAAGTTTAGGAGAGAAGTTGCAATAATTCCCTGGTAGCTGCTGTAGCTGCCCTTGGAAGAGCCAGTGGGGCTGCTGATGGGGTTGGATCCAAAATGGGACTTAATGGGGCTCCTTCCTGTACAAAATCAGAAATGCCATATGGATCTGGAGGACAACCTGGGGGACATGTCCAAGTCTCTGCTCTCTACAGAAGCCAGCCCTCCCCACTGCCCCACTGCCCCACTTCCCCACTGCCTCCTTTAACACCACAGCCCAAGAAAATTCAAAAGCAGGGATGGTATAGTTATTCCCATCAGCCCTCTGTCCAAATCCAGAGACTGTGAAGAGTTTATTTAGGAGGCAGGTCATAGACTACTCCTGTGTTCTTTTCCTTTTCAGTATTGGGGATTGAATCCAGGGTACACTGAGCTGTATCTCCATCTCTTCTTATTTGGAGTTAGTGTCTCACCAAATCACTAAGGTGCCTAGGCTGGACTCAACTCATGATCCTCCTGCCTCATCCTCCCAGAGCACTGGGATTACAGGCTTACACTACCTGGCCAGGCCCATTGCTGTACTTTTAAAGCTGAAAATTAATTCGATTTTTCAAAATTACTTTGCTCTTCCATTACATACCTCAAATCAGGTAACTTGCATCTTATACAAGAGAGCTTAAAGACCAATTCAGAGTTTTAAAAATTATTTCATAATTGAAAAGCATTTACTATTTTTTAAGTACCCCAATGTAAATCTTTAAACTACAATAACTAAGGTGCACTCCACACACACAGGTCCTGTGTGGACCAGTGGGCCAGCACTCCCAGCAACAGCAGGGGCCGATCCTGCCATCCACACAGCCAATGAGGCCCAGGGCCTCAGCTCCATATGGCCTTCTTCAAAGGATCAGGCAGGTTGGGGTCTTTTCCACCTGGAACACTGGGCCAGCTTGGTTCCAAGTGCTGTGGACTCACTCAAGTCCCTAAGTGAGGGGAGTATATGGGCTCAGCCTGGGTTGCTTCTGAAACAAACCACACCCACATCTCAACCCTTTGAAGTCAGCTGACTCTAGAAGCTTTGGGGGCAGGTAGCAAGGACTGAGCCCCAGGCTTCAGTCTGACCCCCAGAATCCTATAGGTCTATCAGGTCTCTTGGGGATGACACTGACCCTTTTCTGGGGCGCAGGGGTCACTTTTACTTGCATTTGCCAAGGGCTGGTCCTGATGAGCCCATAGGGAAGCAGGAGGCCCTAAGGCTACCTCTTCCCCTTTTGGCTTCCCCGGGCACCCACTTCATGGACCTCCATCACCTGAGGTGCTTCCTTAGCACCTGCCCAAGTGTCTTAGGGCCAAGTAGACACCACCCCTCAACCCTGAAGCATTCCGAGGGGCCAGGCAGGTGGGGCTCCATTTCAGACCCCCACAGACAGACCCTGCCCCACATCGCCTTTCTGTCTTTCTCACACATGCACAGACATGCTGTGGAAGCACCATACGCTTGCGCACACACCATTCAGCCCCAAGCCTGCATCCGCCCTCTGCCTCACCCATGTACAGTGTCCACACATGCTACAGACCCCGCAGCCTGCACAGGGCTCTCCCAGGAAGCCAGCACGTGTAGGAACAAGACATGCCTTGTTCTCAGGAAGGCTTTCCCTCGCTCAGCATGCACTCCCTCCCACTCACAGGCTGCAATTCTCCAGGGCCACACTGAAGCGCCCTTTATTTGGAGGAGAAAGAGCAACAAAGCACCTTCAGCTGGCTCTGGGCGATGAATCTCCTCCTGTCCAGACATCTCAGCTTCGGCCTCATCCAGAGTTCCTTCCGATTCATCCGAAACAGAGACGTCCTTCACCTCACCATCCTCACTGCCATCGCTGTCCACACCATAGCCCTCATCCAGAGCCAACTTCAGGGGATGCGACTTCCTCTTGGACACCAGGTGCTCAGCCTCAGCACCCTCCAGCTTCCTCTTCTTGGCCAGAGGGCAGCTCTGTAAACTGGGAGGGAGGACAGGCCATGGAGAGTGCAGGGCCAGGGCACAGGAGGCCTTAGACAGCCAGGAGCACATGGCAAGGTCCTCCCCTCCTCTGCAGCTGGTGTTTAAAATCTTACATCTAATTATATACATTTAAAAGTTCTTGATTGTGTTTTAAATCACCTTACAGTGGGCCAAGCCCACACCTGGAGAGAGGACTCCCGTCCCCTCAAGGCCCCACAGGCCAGACTGCTCCCCTCCAAGCTCCCTGTCAAACCCAGCCAGTACCCCTCATGCACTCCCATTTGATCTTGGCCCCCTTCCTCCCACCTGGGGCCGTTCCTTCCCCTTTCACACTTCCCCCACCCTACAAACCTGGCCCCATAGAGCAAATGGACGCCTCAAGTCAAGCTGACCCACAGAATGACCACATTGACAACCATAGCAACAGCTTGCTGGCCCCAACATGGCACCAGGCCTGCTCTGGGCACTACCACATGGACACATGCAGTCCTTACAGAAGCTCCAGTGGGAAAACCAGTGTCCTGGACAGGCCATCTAGCTGTTCCCCCCAGGGCACACTCCTGGCCAGGCTCACCCAGGGTCACCACCCTAGGGATGTAGCCCTGTGGGAGGTCACTAAAGGGTCAGCTTTGCCTCAGCAGCAAAGGACAGAAATGAAAAGTATTTAATCAACAAAAGGGCCCAGAGCAGGAGAGGGGGCCCTGAACCTGCTTCCCAGGAACCTTGAGAGAGCCAAGGAGCCGCTTACCTTCGGTGCCTGGAGTATTTGCCCCGGACATGTCCTGAGCCCGTGCATCCTGGGGTGGGGCAACTGGGAAGACAAATAGGAGAGGTTACCTTGGGCAACAGGATGTGGGGCTCGGGATGCATCCTGACCCTTACCCTGGGGGGGCAGAAGACGGTCTCCAAATAGTTTACCACAGGACAGCTGCTGGTAGTTTGCTAAAAATTAGCAAAATAGTTCACTTCATTTCAACAAATGAATGGCTCAACACAGCTCCGAGTGTTTAATCACAGATCTGTGTGTACAAGAGCAAAGCCTCTGTGCCAGCATCTGCGGGACCATCTCCTTTTCCCAAAGCAGACCTTCCTCCACTTGCCACTTGGCTTCCAGGGCCTGGAAGACGAGACACCCTGAGGTCCCCCCGGAACACAGTACACTCTATAAAGGATGTTCGTCGCTCATCTGGCCAAGTCTGTAGCCCAAAATTTGGACTTCTCCATGCCCATCACTGATACTGTAATACCTGTGGCCTCTGAGAGTAGCAGTCTGCAGTCCCTGCCAGGCAGGCTGACCTACGCTGCAGGCAGGAAAGGCTCTGTGTGGCCATCAGCAGCTCCAGCTGGCAATGGAACTCTGCTCCAGGACCTGGAGCCTGGTGTGGGTGCCAGCTTCCATAGAGTGAAGGGAAGGCAGGAGGACAATGAGCTAAGAACCTACCTTCCTGAAGGAGAAGCTGACTAGGCTAAGGGCAGCTCCCAACCCAAGGTTGGTAAGAATACGCCCCCTAGGAGCTCTTGCCCTATTTCCTATGTCCTGTATCCCAGTGTGACCAAACAAATAGGAAGCTCTGGAAACTCCTGATCTTGGGCACTGACTGTGCCTTCCAACCATGGCAGCAAGACTGCAGTTCCCACAAGAGCCTTCCAGTAAGAGCAGCTGCAGAGGGGCCTGTGTGGCATTGTGAGGCCACCATGTTTCAGGCTTCTGTGGGCTGAGACACGTCTACAGGTCAAGGGCTCCAAGGAGCTCCCACCGGCCATTGTCACTGCACACCGCCTAAACAGCGAAGCTATGCAAGTCCTTCTGGGAGGCTCAAGACCCTCCATTTTTAACAGGATAGCTGCCATGGGTCTGAGCTCCTGCCTGGGATCCAGATTTCCTAAAATACAGCACACCTTCCCTGAGCCTGTGGAGGCTGGCAGGTGTGGGCAGCTCCTAGGACCCAGGAAAGGACATCCACCCTCATCCACACCTAGGCACCCCAAACAGTTTCTGCTGTGATTGACCATGGCCTGACTGCAGACCACCATGGAGCCCAACTGGCCATGGAGCCCACATTTACTGAATACCCAGAACCGTTTGTGAGCCAAGTCCCAACCACACAAGCTCAGCAGCAGCCATGAAGGACAGGGGTTCTGATGGGGTTCTCTCTCCCTACAGGACACCATCTCAGCTCCTGGTCTTGATTTTCAGTGTGTTAAAGGGGAAAAAGAGCCTGGTGTGATGGCGCAGACCTACAATCCCAGCCACTATACTCAGAAGGCTGAAGCAGGAGTGTTGCAAGCTGGAGACCAGCCTAGGCAACTGAGTGAGATCCTGTCTCAAAATAGAATGAAAGAGGGCTGGGGATTTAGCTCAGTGGTTCCACC